TGCGATTGTGTCAACGCGCGCCATTTTACTAAAATGACTGACTGTATAAACAGGAACTTGATATTGCGAGCATCCATACAATAGTATCATTTGATATCCATATAGGGTTCATGTGCTACATTGAAACGTGACACCTCGGCTCATCCCACTGGCCTCTTTAGGGCTTCTTCTTCTTCTTTATTTTGAGGGCCCACGATCAATGAATTGATCATTCTGGCTCCTATGTTTCAGAGGAGTTTGCGATGTTACTGTGCATGGGTTTCATGGGTTTCAATGGGATGCTTCACTGGTTGCAAGGGCGACTCAGCAGTGGTGTTATGAACTGGGGGTTGGAATACAGGAGGCAATAGACACAAATGTGTCAAGTGTAGCCGCCTCAACTGTTGCTTTTGGAAGCTTGTTCCAGTCCCATATTGTCTTCGGCAGGAATGAGGAGCTCCTGTACTTTGTTCTTGTTTTTACCAGTCGGAACTGTCTGTCGTGGCTTCGTCGCAGTCTAGGGGGAAGATGAACGAGTTTCTGTTTGATTCCGGAGCAGTGGACCAGCTCATTTTTTATCTTGTACAACATGGTGAGCCTGGATAGTCGTCGTCGTTCTTCCAATGTAGACCAGCCCAGTGTTTCAAGCATGCTGCCAACACTCGAGGTGTTTCTGTAGCGGTTCATGACAAAGCGTGCTGCCCGTCGCTGGACCGCCTCCAACCTATCGATGCTTTTCTGGGTAAATGGGTCCCAGACTGTAGAAGCGTACTCTAAAATAGACCGGACAAAGGCTTTATATGCTTTTTCTTTCACGCTTGAGTTTCCGATCTTCAGATTGCGCCTTAGGAACCCCAGGGTCTTGTTTGCCCGGTTGCACACACTGTTAATGTGCTCGTCCCAGCGGACCTCTCTTTCAATGGTAACACCCAAGTACTTTACGGAGGAAACTGGCTCAAGAATATGGCCATGCAGTTCGTAAGGGTGGTTTAGAGTGAATCTGCTTCTGGAGACTGACAGGGTCTGGCACTTGACGGGATGAAATTCCATGTCCCAGCTCATCTCCCACTCAGCTAACCGATTGAGGTCTTGTTGAAGCTGGCTCTGGTCAGAGCTGTTGACGATTGTCCTATATACCGCCGTGTCGTCTGCGAACAGTCTTGCTTGAGAGGTCAGCTTCTCGGGCAGATCATTGATGTATGCTAGGAACAAACAAGGGCCTAGCACTGAGCCCTGGGGGACCCCTGACTTAACACCGACATAGGAGGCGGTTTTGCCATCTACCACTACTGCCTGACATCGGTCGCTGAGGAAGCTAGAGATCCATGTTTTGGTAGTGCCTTGGATCCCATATCTCTGCAGTTTGTGTAATAGCAAGCTATGGTTGACACGGTCAAACGCTTTTGAAAAGTCCAGCACAAGCACATCAGTCTGCTTGCTGTTCTCCAAGTTGGTCGTCAATTCTTCAGCAAATTCAAGGAGTTGGGTCTCGCATGATCTGTTGACTCAAAAGCCAGGCTGACAATCATTGAGTATATTGTATCTTTCCAGGTGATTCATGACCGCGCTTACGATTATGTGCTCCAATAGTTTACATACTACTCTAGTGAGGGATACAGGGCGGTAATTGGCTGGGTCGTAATGCTCTCCTTTTTTGTAGATTGGAGTGACATACACTGTTCTCCAGTCAGTTGGAACGTTGCCTGTGAATAGCGACGATTGGAAGAGGATTGTTAATGCAGGAGCGATTTCATTGGCCAATTCTTTTAGCACTCGGGGTTTGATGTCAGGACCACATGCCTTGTAGGGGTTAATGTTTTTAAGGAGTTCCAGCACACCCTTCTCTGAAATATGGATATCTTCCATGGTGGGGTAGGCTGTGCTCATCATGTTGGTCTTCAGAAGAAACTCAACTTCTGAGTACTCTCTACCATCCCCAAAGACCGACTGGAACTGTTGATTGAGTATGTCCGCCTGTTCTTTGGGTTCAGACGTCAACTTGCCCTCGTATCTCAGGGGGGAACCCCCAATGTTTGTTGACCTTTGATGCTTGACATAGCTCCAGAACCGCTTGTTCTTGGCGGTTGTATCTTCCTCTGAGAAGATGCCGTTCAGGTAGTTTCAGTAGGATCTGCGCAGTAAGCGTTGGATGGTTCTTCAGAGCCTCAGTACTTCGGCTTTTAGTTCGACCGACCCATTCTTCTTCATACGTTTGTACTGGCGGTCTCTCCTGTGTATGAGCCTTTGGATTTCAGCCGTAACCCATGGTTGATTTGTCTTAGGTTTTGAGGTCTTGTGTGGTATGAATTTCATCACTGCATCAGTGATTGTTGTCTTGAATTTCATCCACAGCTCTTCTGTTGTCGCATTACCCTGAATCTCATGCATGTTTGAACTCAGCTCAGTCATTGCCCTTCCCAGGCTATCCCAGTCTGCCTTTGAATAAATGGGGATTTCTCGCACAGCCTGTTTCTTTTTTAGCACGGTGACTTGAAATTCCCAGTACGGTATGCAGTGGTCTGATATTCCGGGGATGACTTCTACTCTTGGAATGAGATGTTGACTGTTACAGACCTGTTTCCTCTTACGATTTTGGTGTACAATGTACGATTTGGAGGTGTAGACCTATACATTATATATACTGCACGTTTTTTTTTTTCTCTATAAAGAGAATGTATTGAACAATTATGTGATGATATTGTACGATTTTAAGACTTTGAGGGTAAACGGGTCTGCTTTTAGTGAGGAGTAGGTCAAGAGTGATTTCCCCTCGCGTGGGTTCTATTAACCATCTGTTCCAGACCATGGTTGTTAATTATCTCCATGAATTCAGAGTGTAGGACCGGGTATGGGGACTTGGGCTTCAAAGCAGGAATCTGCCAGTCCCAACCAGGGCTTTCTGTATGCAGGTCAATGCTAACATAAGAACTGTCTCCCCTCTCCGAACGCTATTCACCATTGACTATAATTTTATTTTGTGTCCAATCAAGACAGGACAAGACTTCGAGCGAGCCATTGAAAGTTAGATAAAACTGTTCATTCCTGAACATGTCAGACATAAGATTGATATTATTGATGCTTGTTATTAGCAGCAGTCGTAAAGATGGCCCAAATGCGTTATTTCTCCCCAAGATGTCTTCAATGGCATGGAAGACCCCGTAGACGTCAAGGAAATTTCAGGGGAAAAAAACAACATTTTATACGCCAATAAATACGGTAATGTAAACATTTAAAACCATATTTATAACTTACTTGGTCAATAGTTAAAATATGTTAACTTAATATCAAATTTTGTTTTATTTACTTTTTTTTAAAATCTCATTTCACCTTCAGCACTCACACCTCATTTTGACTTCAGCACCCATAGCCTAGGTCTTTTTGGCTTCAGCACTTAAAGTTCATTTTGGCTTCAGCACAACATAGCTCATTTTCGTCTTGTTTTCTGATGAAGGCTCTTAGCCGAAACATCAAAATCTTTGGTCCTGTTAATAAATTCAAGTATAGCATACCTTGTTTTTAGATTTCATTTCAAAACTTGAATGCAGTCCTTTAATTATAATTATCTCATTTTGGCTTCAGCAGTCATAGCTCATTTAGGCTTCAGCATTCATACTCATAGTTCATTTTGGCTTCAGCACAACACAGCTCATTTTGGCTTCAGCACAACATAATTCATTTTGGCTTCAGCACTCATAGTTCATTTTTGCTTCAGCACTCATAGTTCATTTTGGCTTCAGCACTCATAGTTCATTTTGGCTTCAGCACAAAACAGCTCATTTTGGCTACAGCTCATTTTGGCTTCAGCACAACACAGCTCATTTTGGCTTCAGCACTCATAGTTCATTTTGGCTTCAGCACTCATACTCATAGTTCATTTTGGCTTCAGCACAACACAGCTCATTTTGGCTTCAGCACAACACAGCTCATTTTGGCTTTAGCACAACACAGCTCATTTTGGCTTCAGCACAACACAGCTCATTTTGGCTTCAGCACTCATAGTTCATTTTGGCTTCAGCACTCATACTCATAGTTCATTTTGGCTTCAGCACAACACAGCTCATTTTGGCTTTAGCACAACACAGCTCATTTTGGCTTCAGCACAACACAGCTCATTTTGGCTTCAGCACTCATAGTTCATTTTGGCTTCAGCACTCATACTCATAGTTCATTTTGGCTTCAGCAAAAAACAGCTCATTTTGGCTTCAGCCCAACACACCTCATTTTGGCTTCAGCTCAACACACCTCATTTTGGCTTTAGCATAACACAGCTCATTTTGGCTTCAGCCCAACACACCTCATTTTGGCTTTAGCACAACACAGCTCATTTTGGCTTCAGCCCAACACACATCATTTTGGCTTTAGCACAACACAGCTCATTTTGGCTTCAGCCCAACACACCTCATTTTGGCTTTAGCACAAAACAGCTCATTTTGGCTTTAGCACAACAAAGCTCATTTTGGCTTCAGCACAACACAGCTCCTTTTGGCTTAATAAAACTATTGCTGGTACCGGTACTTAAAATTGTTTGTGAATTCTTGAAAGAATATGTTATAATTTATTCTAAGGATAACTGAGTGAGAGTGGGTTTCACAATAAATGACCATCAAGGTATTATTGTTTCCTTATTGCCATGTCTTGTAAGCTCACATTTTTTTAATTTCCATTTTCTCAGGATAACAAATCTGAAGAGATTAAATCCAGTTAACTCATGGACAATCAAAAAAAAAATGTTATAAATAAGTCAATAGTTTTAGTACGTTATAAATTATAGTACTCTCAATTTTTTTTTAAAACAAAATATGTATTAACCTTCATCAATGTTGAGTTAAAAAAAAAAAAATCTTATTTCAACAGTCAATTCAATTGTTTCCTTATTGCCATGTTTTGTAAGCTCACATTTTTTTAATTTCCATTTTCTCAGGAAAACAAAACTGAAGAGATTAAATCCAATTAACTCATGGAAAATCAAAAAAAAAATGTTATAAATAAGTCAATAGTTTTAGTACGTTATAAATTATAGTACTCTCAATTTTTTTTTAAAACAAAATATGTATTAACCTTCATCAATGTTGAGTTAAAAAAAAAAAAAATCTTATTTCAACAGTCAAGTCAAGCACAAAGCAATGTCAGCTATATGGATACTTCCACAGCATTTCTACCATTTCAAACACTTAATATTCAGTCAATGCAGTTTGTGAAATACGGTATACTGAAAAATGAATCACTGGACTAAGAAGATAAGTTTCCAACAGAATATTCTTTTTATAATGTTGTCATTAACATTAAATAAACAGTCAAGCGATTATTTGTTTTTCCCCTACAACTGAAGTTTATATGATGACAGAGAATACAGTTGGCAAGGGTTAACTAAAATGATATCTTTTTTATTTGTTTAGTAGTATTGAGCAAAACTAGCTCAGATCTTTTTTTTTTTTTTTTTTTTTTTTTTTTTTTTTTGTAAAATTTTTTTTTTTTTTTTATTATTAATTAAAAAAAATTGTTCTAATTTTTTTTTTTTTTTTTTTTTTCCTTTTTTTTTCTAGGAAAATTATTTATTGGCAAGCTGCGATTTCAACGGCAATCATTACATTTAAAAATTCTAAAACTACTGTTTAACAGAAAACCAGAAAGGGTTTTTTGAAGAAAAAAAATCATATTGGAATAATTTATTTTTTAATTTTAATTGTTAACCAAAAAAAATGTTGCATAAGTTTTAGATCCTGAAATCATAGCCAAAAAAGAAAATACTATTTCCTGGTCATTTTTTAACACTACATTACAAGATTGAATACCTGTACAAATTATGTACATTTTTTATTTATTTAGAAGGTAAATACTTCTATATTCTAGAGGCAGGGAGAATGTAAAACAAATTCTTAATCCCTAGGGATTAACAATGCTTTCCTAGACTTGAAACCTTGGTCATTGTAGTCCGTTTTATCTTTCTCTTTGAATTGTGCGTGGTCCTGAAACAAATACATTGGTTGTAATAATTTTAAGATAGCTTCTTTTATAAATCTTTGTTAAATTGGGTAAATAATTGCACTTTTTTTTCCACTTCAATATACAAAGCAACTTCAGCCATTATGGGATATCATTTTTATAAAGATATGGTAATGTCTTGTTTTATCCCGCACTAATGCTGTTGTAAAGGGTATGAGAATCCCAGTTGGCATGAACTGAATGGATGAAAGGAAAAGGATGACAAACAAAAGTGTTGCATATAAGATGTGTGAGATCGAGAGGAGCGTTAGCCGAGATACAGTTCACAGTAATACACTCGAGTCCATGTATTTCATGTTTAGTTCTGGGAGTAACCCAGAAGTTTATATACAGTAGTCAGAAGTGTGTGGCTAGTGGAAGTTATTTTACATCAAGTCTTTAATGCCGTTAGTCCCAGAGAGGGGTTTTGTGTACTATATAATGGTGACATTGTGTCAGTACAAAGAATAAAGATTAACAGAATTATTTTATGAAGTGTTGCCACCTCTATTATTTGGTGTTGTTATAGTATAGTCTAGTATAGGATATGTGCAGAGCTATTTTGAGCCACCACCATTTTTCTACCACTTAGAGTGGCCTTGATACTTATGTCACCTAGTAAATGTACTGTGTCACTCTATTGTCACCTGCCCCTCCCTTAGTTGGGAAAAGATTGTTTACATTTGAATGTGTTCTGTTTTTTATAAAGGATGCCATAAGTGATGCCTTTTCTAGAATTTCTTAACTTGATCGTTCTGATTTAATCCCTATATATATATATAGGCAACCAGGTTTCTTAGCAGACAGAGAGAGAGTGAGGGAGAGATTTTTGCTATACGAGACATTATATGACTGTGTGTGTAAATAAATATTTGTATTTTTGAGGAGAGTACCCTTTTCACTTGCTGTGCAGTATGCTGAAATATTATTTTTTTCTGTATTCGAATTTAAATTTGAATAGAAATTTAATAATATAATTGATTTAAATATTTTTAGCATCACTAGCTTTCGTATTGTTTTCTTTGCAGACTGTATTCTCAGACTTTCGTATGTATTGTTTATTCTATGAGCCAAATGTTAAAACAGATTAAATTTTTAAAACCATAACGGTAAGTAACAGTGTGAATGACTCTTAGTGCAGAGTGCTGCTGTGTTATGGTTGAGCCAGACAGCCGTGCCAGTGTAATTAAAGGGCTCGGTTAAGAAGTACCAGAACCACTATTTTGCCTGTTTCAATAAGAAGATACTGATGTACAGATACAAATTTTTTAAAGCTTGATCAAATAGTTTCTTCCCACCGTCAGAGTTAAATAAAATTTTTATTAATATTTGGCTTTGAAATAGATTCTTCTGAGGAATGATCTAGTTAAATTCATGACTCATGACAAAAATTTATATAGAATCAAGGCAAACTTTTATAAAAATTTTAAATATTTAGGCAGAATATTTATTTACTTAAATGTGCCTCTGGGGTATGGTATCTTTTATCCTAAAAGAAACAGAATGATAAAACTTACAGAAGCAAAGAGCACTGGCTTGGATTCAAACATATTGATTCCTCCTATTCTTGTCCAATCCTGCATCAAATGTAAAGATAGAAAAAATATGCTATGTGCCTAACAACAACTGAACAATGAAATAAATCAAAAGTATTTTAAAATAAATTTGATATGCTTGAGCCCTGGTTTTTTATCTAAAGCAGTGGCTCACAAAAAAGTGGGGAAACTGTAATTATGGAACGGAATGTGTACATATGCACACAGTGGAAGGGGAGTTGTGATTAGTGACCAGGAAACATGCATGCCAGTGTACAAAAAAATAAGATCAACAGTTTTTTTTGCTATGCCTTCTCCACGTATTACCTTATTCCCTTGCAAGCCTGCTAACTTTACTTGTCAGAAATTTTCACACATAAAAACAGGTTAAATTCAATTTTTATTTCCCTGTCCTTTATTTTCATAACTTGTAATCATTTCAATTTGGAGAAATTTATACATAATTTTTCAGACCACAAATAAAAAACAGAAGACATCTTTAGGCTAAATATTATATTGTGGACAATGCAAATAATTGTGGGATTCTGTGCACAAAATAATTGAAGTAAAAGTTTTCCTTTTAATACTGTTGTCAATATTTTAAGCATCCAGAACGAGGGAGAATATTTTACCCAGCTGTATACTGGTCTTTAGAAGAAAATAAAAGAACAGGAGAACTATACAAATATTATTACTCACATTGCTGTGGTACTTCAAATGGTACCAGAGAATATATGATGCTCCAAAAACCATTATAACTTTTGGGATTGTTTGTCGCATCAAGGAGGCAGCTTCATCACCCTAGATTTTTAATATCATTATGTTAGAAAAAAATAATTCCTCTAATGCTAAAAAATTCTTTTTAACTTATTTTTAGTAAAGATAATTTGAACAAAATTATTATTTATTCTATTATGTATATAAACTAATTAAAAATTATATAATATGCTATTATTTATTGAACTATCCATAACAACTTACTATCTCAATTTTTCAACACTCAAATACATTTTTTTTTTATAACTTAGAACTCTTTTCAGACCATTCTTAATTATTATGTTAATACAATTATACCAATAGCAAACAACTTAAATCATGATCTTTGAAATAATAAACAGATATTTTTAGCCTATTTGAAGTTTTGACACAGTAAAATTACTTCCTTAATTACTGATAACCTATTTCTATTTGATGAAGCCCAGATACCAGCTTTCATATTGTTACAGCCTTCGCTCTCTCAATATTAATTGGCTGGTGTTCAGTAGCAACTTAAGCATAATAATATGTTACGGGTTGAGAAAAATGCTTCCTTAGCTCACATTGGCTTTAGCCTAATTTAGGATGAATGTAGCAAATTTATTGTATTCAGAAATGCATAATAAAGTTGTTATATATTTTCATTAATAACAAAAAAACTAACTGCGCCCTGGGAAACCCAATGTACTCAAGGCTCAATTCACCCCACCCAGTCCTTTCGCTATAAATTATATATGCCCCCACTAAGCCCTAGCCCTAATCATATCATTAACATTAATATTATTATAGACTATAGACTATGTAACTTAATAGTATGTATGTATGACTATGGGACACTTTAAAATTCAGTAGTATGACTGACTAGGCCCTAGTCCTAGGCCTATACTATGCTTACACTTATAGTGCTGTCTACTCAATACTGTCTCCACTGTCATTTATCAAATAATTACCAAATAATTACCAAATAATTAATCAAAATAATTAATAGTATTGAATTTATTGTTTGAAAATTATACTTTAAAAATTATAAAATTCAAATCAAACTCAATAAATTAATAATTAATATGTTATGTTATTTATACAATACAGGCTTCATTGGAGAAGCAACTTACGACAATGTGTTTTACAATTCTTGAAAACACAAAATCTGCAGGCCATCTGTAAATCCTTCGAAATATGTTTAGTGGTTGCAATTGTTTAATCTCTCTTGGTTCGTGATGCAGAATCTGATCAGTCACCCATTGTTTACGTAGTGCTCTTTGCTCTGCCGTCATACCCTCACCATTAAGTCGATTTCTTTCATGTGGCAGTGGTTCGATTTGCATTGGAGGATAGGCTGATTTACACCAAAAATCATATCGTTCAAATCTTTTCGCCCTTTGCCATGGTTTTTCCATAACCGGGTCTACTTTGTTAGTAACCTTCGAATCTGCCATTTTGTTGAGGCTTGAAAAGGTGACCGATTTAAAGGTAGATTACTCCAAAATATTTTAAAATCTTAATGAATTACCAGTACCGTACCTTTCATTGGGTATTTTAATATTTTGAAAACACTTTTTAGATTATAGTTTCACTAAAACTAAAATTAAAATGCACTAAAAGTATTTTTTTTTAACTTAAAAAATTTCAGCTCCATTCCATTTTTTGTCACCAAGGACTCAAAAAAATAAAATTAGAAGAAGACTGCCTACCAGTAGTGATGTTTTAGAATGCACGACTCATACTCACTTAGCAAGCAAGGAGTTAAGTACTATCCATTGAACGCAATTTTTAAATTGCAAAGAATGAAATATGGATTTAACATGAACTCAAGTGTTTACAAAGCAAATCCAGGAACTTATCCTTGTCCGTCTGATCTAAGACTGAGACTCAAGTTCTCTTTAAAATTTAGTCAATACAGACTACGGCTTGGGTGATTATTTAATTTAGAAATAATTTTTTAAAATAGCTTTTTAGTTATTAATCAGACATCTTAGTCAAAAGGATGCATTTTTATTCACTAAAAAAATATACATCAATGACAAAATGGGAGGGTTTATAGGCAGTGGGGTAAAAAGGTTGCTGGATGTAACAAAGGAAACAAAACAGTCATGTGTGGCATAGAGAACGTTTGTGACATAGAGTGAGTTGAAAAAAGTCTTTTAAAAAAATAAGTGAGGATTTAAAAATAAATACAGGTGTTCAGTAAAGAGAACAAATGAAATGTAATCAAGATAGCAAAGAGTACAACCTTGCCCTTGTATAACATATATTTTAGGAAATGTAGCAAAAATCTCTCTCTCTCAGCTAGGAAAGCTACAGGCCTATACATAGGTATTAAATCAGAACCATCTCCTAAAGAATTCTAGAAATTGCTTCACCTGATAGCAGTCTTTAAAAACATATATAGTGCATTCAAATGTTAACAACCTTTACCCAATCAAGGGAAGGGGCAGGTAAGGAGTTTCACAGTGCATTTACTCCTTGACATCAATATCAAAGCAAAATAAAGGCCAGACAAGTGGTGGTGGTTAAAAATAGTCATACACATATGTCATAATAAAAGTACACAATTATCTTTTTGAGGCAATAGTAATATCTTTTAAATCATTTAAGACTAGTGATAGCAAACGTTTTAGAGAACACTGCCCAAAATGCAACAAAAAGCCCACTTATTTATTGTATGGTGCCAAAACTGCAAGTAAATCTGAACAATGACTCTGTAGTTTAGAATAAACAATTCATATGAAGACATCTTTTGTCTTAAAAAGAAAAATACAGGAACAGATCTTTCAATGATATAAACAGCTTTTCTATTAAAAGGGAATAGTTTGGCTTTTTGGGGTGCTTTTTCATAATTAATGAATTAATGTGATCTTTGATGTTTTCTGCAAGGCGTGGCAACTTGGCTCAAGTGCAGATGGAGAGATGTTTGTTTACTGCAGCTAGCATGCTAAATGTTCAACACAGCTGCTATAGAGTAATGATGATAAGTTCATCCAATCATGCAACTATGGTTTAACATTTGCCAGTACCATACTTTTAATGTAAATAATCTTTATTAAAAAAATTAATCACCCGCACATCATTTAAATCAGAGCAGCTCATTTGATTTTAATAATGCAAAGAAAGTCATTAAAATTAAGGGCAATGCATCAGTTGTAAACTTTTCTTCATTGTTGCTTTGTTGTTGTTTTTTAATTAAAAAAGCATGCTTTCAACATGTGTTAGATAAAAGGAGAATAAGGGTGTATAGTGTGTGAAGATAGCTGGAAAGAAAGGGAGTGGGGGTATGAGATGGATTTCTAGCCACAAAGTTATGATTTTTTTTTTAAGCTCAAACTGATCTTTCCAGTGTCTTTGATAGTTTAACAAGTACCACCAATTATAAAAGGGACATTAAAAAAATATTAAAGCTGTTGAACAGAAGAGACAGATAATAATGTTCCCCACTTCATCTATGGCGTGATCATTAAACATTTAAGAGTCATTTAACTTGAGTTTTCAGAACATGAATGACCCACACAGTTTGAATCACTCACACATATGAGATGTTGGTAGTGTAGGGCATAATGTTGCATTTTTTAAAAAAAATAAACAAGAACATTACTTTTCAAACATTAGACACCTCAAAGCCATAACAGATATATACAATAACCCATCGATCATCAGACTATCACTTTAATTTACTCACAATATCTCCCAGTCATTCATCCTCTCATGCAGGATTAGGATCATTTTAAAAAATGACGGAAAAGCATCTTTCTTGGCACTGTTTTGATCAGCCTATATTTACACTGCATGAAATTAATCGGTTTCTAATCACAATTTCATCAGTTATTTATTCTGCTCTCGTTGCAGGATTGGGTTCGTTTCGACAAATGACTGAAATTCGTCTGTCCCTGGGCACAGTTTGATTTTTAAACTTTGATTCTTCTTGTTTCAGAACTTCATGAGTGAAGTCATACCTAGCTCTGCCTCTGAAAAAGAAAAAAAAAAACTTTGTGAAAATCTACAAAATTCTTATGAACAATTCTTTTTTGCCTTACTTATTACATTTTATGAAATTTTAAGAAGAATAGCAGAATAGCCTCCAAAACCTCCAGGAGCCCAAGACACTTGTTTCCTAAATGTGGGCAAGCAGAACTAGGACTCACAATCCAACTGCATACTCACTGACTATATAGTCTTGGTCATCTTTACATGCGAAGGATGAATAACAAAAACCGATAATTATTGAACAGAATGTAAATATTAATTGCTGAATAGGCTCTGAAGCAATAAAACAACTTTATTTATCAAGATTTTCTACATTTTAAATTACTTTCATAACTCTTGTATGGCTTATTAAAAGAAATAGTCATAGAAACTCACTATACGTTAATTATAATCGATTTTTACTATATAAATAATATATAATTATTATGCTATTAAAAGTGCTATTTAAAAAATTCAGCTAGCTAAAGTCTTCTATTTAAAATGAAAAGATGGCACAAACAAAATGTTGCCAGAATATGCTTAAACTAAATCTCACAAGTGAAAGTGTTTTTGTTTCTTCTCTGGAACAGGTGGAAGAAAAAAATAGTTAAACAAAATTAATGCTCACTTCATGATATAAAGGCATCGCCTGGGAAGGTATATGTCTCCAAACTTAGAGCTGTCTTTTTCAAGACCCAGTCTCATAACACAAGATGAAAGCAGACACATGCCAGCAATTGTATCACCACAAAACTAGAAAATTTTATAAAAATTTGTTTAAAATCATGACTTACAGAGTAAAGACCAAGTATTACTTCATTTTGTTACAGAGTAGATTACTTCAAACATCTTAATTCAATTACATTACTATTAATATTCTATACCTTGAAAGCTTTTTCAATTATTTTTTTTAATGCATAATGAAGTTGATGCTGAATCATTCAAAGGAACATAAATAAATTATATCAACTTTGATGACTTATACTTATAATGAGATGATGAGAGATTATGGGGTTGTAGTCAAGAGTCTGAAAAATCTTATGAAAAATTAAATCACACTGAAATTGTTTTACATTATCCAAAGAATATTTATGAAAAAGTGCCATAATTAAACATATTTTTATCAATAAAATATCAGGAAAAGATAATTTCAATTCCAAACTAACACCTGGTTTTAAAAAATGATTACTCTTGTTTTAAAATTATGTTTTAAGTATTTGTTACATCGAGCTAACCAAAAGTATGGATCATATTAATAATCCGTCCGATTAAAATAATCTTTATCCGTCCGATTTTAGATTATGCATCTTCAGTCTGGGACCCATTTACCCAGAAGAGCATTGACAGGTTGGAGGCGGTCCAGCGACGAGCAGCACGCTTTGTCCTAAACCGCTACAGGAATACCTCAAGTGTTGGCAGCATGCTAGAAACACTAGGCTGGTCACCATTGGAGAAACGACGACGACAATCCAGGCTCTCCATGATGTACAAGATAAATAATGGGCTGGTCCACTGTTCCAGTATTAAACAGAAACTCGTACCTCTCCCCCATAGACAGCGACGAGGCCATGACAGGCAATTCAGGCTCATACCAGCAAGAAGCCAGTATAGGAGCTGCTCATTCCTGCCCAAGACAATCAGGGACTGGAACAATCTTTCAAAAGGAACGGTTGAGGCGACAACACTAGACACATTTGTGTCTATTGCCTCAAGCCTTCAAACCCCCAGTGCATGATTCCCTCACAAAGTGGCACTGGAAATCTGTGAAATTTCCTCATCAACACCAGGAACAGAAACATTGCAAATCCCATCTACATGCATAGGAGCCAAAATGATCAATAAATTGATCGTGGGCCCTTAAGATATAGAAGAAGAAGAAGAATGATCATGTCCTTTAATTTACAACATCAAATTCAAGTGCAATGATTGCCAACAATGAAAACGTGATTGCTATTCTATCAGATGCAAACAACACCACTTTTATTGTCACCTTTTCTAAAATCACCAATTCTTTGATAAATATTGTTACTATTACCACATAATAACTATATATAAGTAGTTTAAGTCTGAATTAAGCCCCTTGTCATCTAATGTAAAAAATAAAGAAACTGGGTATCTTAAATTATATATTTTGAACAGCATCCAATCATTTAAATCAGAAAACTAAATTAATAACGATAATTTGTGCTCAACATACCCTAACAGCATCAACATGAGGTTTAATATAACCATCTTTAGCTATGTCTAGAACGTGAACATGAGCTAAAGGAGAAATAGTCTTATCAAAGGCTATTTCACGGACTCTTTGGATTATCTTTGAGTTCTTTTCATTCCATGACATTTTTTCAGTCTCCCGGTAGACATGAATAGCCTGTTAGATTTTAAAAACAACACTTGATAGAATTTAAGAAACATGATTATTGTGATTCGAGTATGTGTCCCTTTCAAAGTGGAAGTTACGTTTTATTAAAGTTAAACCCAATAATTTAATTATTTTAACTAAAATGGACAAAAAATATACACTATATTAAAAATCATTCATTTTCAATCAAGTCCAAATTAAATTGTATCATTTTATAAGTATTATGTTACTAAAGTTTTTGAGGTTATTATTATAGATGTTAAGAAGTTATTTCCTTTTTGAGTGAAATTAAAAATTCATTTACATACTATTTATATTTTAAAATATT